ACTCCAACGATGAATTCTTACCAAAACGAGGAATCCTACTCAAACAAGGTTTCCTATTTTAGGAAAGTTGACCCTAAGTTTCCCGTTTTGGTAACCTTTCCTAATTCTAAACGTCCATATTTTCTAGCCACTTTATAGGCCTCGTATGCACTTTAGGACACAAAACCAAGGCCCTAGCCCTATTTCCCTTCCTAGCCGCACCTTTATATTTATGATTTTATTTCCTAATTCTAGAAGCCTTTGAATTTATTTTCGTTAATAAAATTAAGCTAGGAACCAAACATATTTAAAACCCTAGGTTTTACATCTTTAGCCGTCACAATCCCATCCATTTATTTGATAAAACAATCTCAGCCATTCACACACATAACCCTAATTCCCTAAGCCGTGGCTCCCCCATGGAATTATCCCATTTTATGTTCTGACCAAGGCGGTGCATTCCGCAATTTTTCACCCAAATTTCCCACCTTTGCCGTGGACCCTAATTCCATATATTTCCCCACATCCGTAGCCTCCATTACCATATAACCCTAATTTCCTATTATTTTCCCTAGCCAACGCAGCAACCATTTTATATTTTTCTCCCATTAATAAATTAATCCAGCCGCACCATCCCATATTATTATTTCTTCATTGCCGTGCCTTTTAAAAAACTGTCAAGCCGTGCATTTTGATAACCTAAATTCCTGGCAGCCACTTTTTTCCATTAAAACCCGTGCATCCCATTTTTTATTAAAGAGCCGCAACACATTCCAAAACCATGCAGCCTTCCTTCACACTTTCCACCACCATACAAACCTTCACACACCACCCCATGGCCTTGCCGCATCCCTAAACCACCTTAAATCTATCCCTAACCCAGAAAACCATCCAAAAACCACCCATAACCAAACTGTCGCAGCAAGGAGAAGAGGAAAGAGGACTTAGACGCGCAGAAATTCAAGTGGATTCGTTGGGCGTTCTAGGTGTAATCCATCCTTTGTTCTTTATGTTTAAATTCAATTTTATTTTTCTTGTTGTGACCATGAGAGGCTAAATCCCCCTAGTTAGCTAGGGGGTGATTCGAAACCATGTTTATGCTTGCAATATGAATTGATTATTTTTGGTCGGAATTTCATAAGTTGTGGATTCAATTCGTTCATCTATTTGATTGATAACTTATTTGTGTATGTTGATTGAGAGTGCACGCTTAATTTTCATGCATGAATATGATGCTAGATTATGAGGGAGTTTCACCTAATAGTTACAATCTTATAATCACAAGTAGTGAAGGTCGCTTGAAAACGATCGCGTTGAATGAATTCTTAGCATAAGTTTCATGCAATTCATAGTAACGAATGCTTCGTCAATGCTTATGTTTTTCATAGAACTTAATGATTCTTGCTTGTATCTCTATTATGCAATTCATGTAGGGAACTTGTAGGGAATGTTTTGGGTTGTCGTATGCAATCATCCAACTTAATAACTTGTGGAAAAACTGAGGGTTAATTAGTGCAATTCACGGTTAATTTGGGGCGTTGAGTTTCATAATTTATCGAAAGACCAACTGAAAATCAAATTGTATGCAAGTGTGACATGTGTGGAGAAGAACCTTCTAGCTAGCATTCATTCCATATTTCATCACATTCATATTTAAATTCTGCATTTAAAGTACAATTTGTGCATTTAATTTATTTTCGTCAAAACCACAATCCCCCTTTACCTTAGTGTCTAATTTAGTTAGAAAGTGTCTTAGTTTGTGTTTATAAGCATTTTGTATTCTTTGAGTCTTTTGATTTGTTTTAGTGTTTTATTGTTAGTTTTGCATTCTTTGAGTCTAGTTTAGTGTCGGAACCACTTAATGTGGTCTGTACGATAGGGATGTGCATCAAACTTGGATCCAAGGTGAGCATGCTGTGCGGGAGGTAAACATCATGTGAAGGAATGTGCCCTGGCCACGGGCGGGAGCACTAACACCAGGGTGCAGGATAATGAGCTCTAAATGCATTTATGCATAATCATAAACAATGCAACCACTATCATCCCATAGTACTCAGCTAAAACTTACCTGGCCTCCGTAGCGTCATACAATGTTATGCATACACATGCTAATGCATATAATAAAATGGAGTGCAAGCATGACATGGCATTTAGAAGAATACACTTGTTTGAAATAGTTTCTGGGAAAATGTAAAGCATATATACGTATATATATAGAAAACCAAAAGCCCACTCACTGGTATGTAGCATGGTCGTAACCCCCTAGGCTTGTCTGGCTACGCTCGTCCTTCGGAAATGTCTCACCTATATGTGAAACAACTAATTTAACGTTAATTTTAAGCACATAACCAAACCGTGTAATAACTTCTCATACGTTGCTCAATTAGGGTGTTTTAATATACCATCGTGACCTACTCAATACCATGAGCATCCCCATATTTTTAGAAAAATTTTCTAATGTTCCACGTGCCCTCATGCGTTGGCTAAAGTACTGCCACACGCCCCGGCCACGCGCAAGCACATGCCTGGCATGCTGACGGAATCCCTAACGGCGTTAGGGAATATTCCATTTAAAAACTAACGAAGTTACCTGACACCATCAGTATATTCCATCAAGGTTGATGGAATATTCCTTATCTTCTCCGGTGACTTGCCAGAAATCGCCGCTGGCCACTGCCTACAACGCCAAATTCTGGAAAATTTTCTAAAGCATATAACTACTTCATTTCTCAACCAAAATGTTCGAATTTTATATGGATTTGAAGCTCTCAACAAGGAGAACATCATCTTACCTATTTGAAGTCCTAAAACCAACGAAAAACGGTCGAAAAAGCTCTTGGAAAATTTGGCTAAACTGGAACTTCTCGAAAACACCTAATCCGAAGTCAACTTTGTCCCAAATCCCTTCTAAGGTTCCTATAAAGTTGTTTAGGAGCTTCCTCAAGCCTTAAAACCTTGGGAAAAGGCCTTGATCATGACGGAGCAACAACCACCTCACCGGAGTTCAAGAATTCCCAGGTTTTCGTGACACGTTCCATGGCCAAAAGGTATCACTCAACTCGTGAGGTTACGAGGAATACGATGGTGGACTTCAACAATTCGATCCGTGACGTTTGGTTAGGGTTCATAGGTGATGGTCTCTCGTTTGTACGAACGAGAGAAAATTTGAGAAGGAAGGAGAGGATGAGGTTGTACGTGTGTGTGTGTGTGTGTGTCTTACGGGATTGGGCAACAAAAGAAAATAATATGATCTGATTGGGCCCAAAAGAATAGGAGCCCATGTAATTAGCCCAAAATTTACCTGTTTACGCACCTAAATATTCATAACCTTCTCGTTATAACTCCGATTCGAACCTAACTCGCGTCAATACCCTCGGGACGTTGAGTACAATTTAATCATATCAGTAGGAAAAATAATTTAAAACTATATATGTACATCCACGTCACCCAGCTAACGAGGGCATAATCGTCATTTTCACACATTCGAGGATAAAATATGTATTTATTCGGGATGGGTCGTCACAATTTTCCCAAAGATCCATCTCCAACCAATGGCTAGACTATAATTCTATGAAGCCCACTAGGCTATTATTTGGCCAAAGGGGTATCAAGCTAGCAAAATGTAGCCTCCTCTTAGCCTTTTTTTTGGGTCCAGCTCCTGAGTTTCAATAATTGATTCAAATTCAACGACTAGATTTGAAAACATATAACAGTAGTTTAACCAAATTAACCATTAAATTTAAAGTATAAATTTAAAACTAATAAATTATTAAGGGGATATGTTTAGCCCCTTCAGTTGGAGATGGTATAGAGATGGCCTAAGGATCCCCTAACTTCCCTTTCTAGATAATCGTGTGTGTGTGTGTGTGTTGTTTTTTTTTTTTGATAAATTTAATATTATACTTCTTTTAGTTTACACAAAACTCTTAATTTCTATTCACCAATAGTTAAAATAAGAGGCCTCTTGCTCTTTTCAATGCCATCAGCACTCATCCTAAAAATAAAGGGAACTTTAATGAAAAACTCTTGATTTTGTTCACTTTAATGAAAAATCATATTTTTACATAAAAAAGTTAATCCTGGTACTATTCACTTTACTCTTTATTTTGTCCTTATTGTTAAAACTCAAAGTTTTCAAGCCTTTTTCATTAGTTTTCCTAAAAATAAAATTATAATCTCACTTTATAAACAAGTCAATAACTCCTAAAATTAAAATCTAAAGTCTAGTTTAGTTTTATCAAAAAAAATTTCTTTACATTGCCAACTGAAAAATAATAAACTTCGAGTTTTTCCTCCTCTACTTCTTGAAATTTTATTTATTTTGTCTTTGTTCTCTTTAACTTTTTACTAAATTTTTTAAATTTCATATATTTTGTTCACCAAATTCCCAATCCATTCTTCTATTTTTTGTTTGAAAATTCCCAAGCTATTCTTCATTGACTTGGGGTGATGCTAGAGATAGCGTCTACTTGAGCCAAATTTAAGTTTAAAATGAGAATTTTGGAGTGCTAATAACAATTCATTCATTTAATTTTTTTAACATTTATGTGAGGCCTCTCCTCACCTAAAATCCTGACTCTGCCACGGTTAGTGTACCACATGCTGTGATATATGATACACACACACACACATCCTTGCCACGTCAAATAGTACACCATGTGGTTAAAAAAATATGACCTCCTAGCGTTTTTCATAACCGAAGTAGTAAAAATATATGCTTACATTCGTAGTAAAAATATATGATTACATTCGTACGTAAGTATCCAAAACCACTCATTTAAAAACCCCACCAAAAGCACCAATTGAAACATCATTTTTCTACAAATTAAAGAAAAAAAAAGTAAAAAGTATTGTGACTCATGTCACATTTTTCCTTCCGATCCGTTCCACTTGTAAGATAGTGCAATGGTTAAATGCCATACAGTTACGTCTGTCTCTTCTCTCTCAAATCTTTTACTGGTGTTAGGTGAGTCTGGTGGGCTCTCTTCTCCTTATAAAACCCCACTTAGCCGCTATTCTTGTCTTGTGCCTCTTCTTTCTTCCATTACAAACACACTTGAAACTTTCCACTTAGTCTTTTTTTTTATCCCCTCTTCTTTGGCTCCCACCAACCCCAAAAAACAAAATAAAAAGATCTATATCGTATATTGTCCGAAAACAAAGCAAATAACCAAGATGCCAGCCGATAGCTTATCAGTTTCCGGCCACGGCCAAACTATTTGTGTAACCGGAGCTGGAGGCTTCATTGCTTCATGGATGGTGAAGCTATTGCTAGAAAGAGGCTACACTGTTAAAGGAACCTTGAGAAACCCAGGTAAATAATTATGTACAAATCATTAACACCTTTTAGGCCTTTGTTTCTCTATCTGTTTCCCCAAATCCAATATTAAATGCTTACACTCCTTTGACAGATAGTCGGACGTGTTTTTTCTACGTTGTTAACTTGAATTATGTTTGTATGCATAATTCTTATTTCAAACCAGTCAATAGATTTGAGACATGTTCATTCGTTTCTTGTATTTATATAGCTTTTATTTTATGGTTTTTAATATGGGTTTTCGTTGTAGATGACCCCAAAAATGCTCATTTGAGGGAGCTTGAAGGAGCTACAGAGAGACTAAGTTTGTGCAAAGCTGATCTCCTTGATTATGAGAGCCTCAAAGAAGCCATTAACGGCAGTGATGGAGTTTTTCACACAGCATCACCTGTCACGGATGATCCAGTGAGCGTTCTTTTTCCCTTACTTTCGCTTTTGGCTTCTGTTTGGTTGCTGAGAAAATACTGGAAAATGTGCGCGCTTTTTCTCTTTAGTCTTTTACCACACCAAACCCATACGTTCCTAATCTTCACTAACTGATCGCTTTGTGGATCCTTCAACCGTAAGTATTGAGACTTAAAACCCAATCAAACGAGAGATTATAGTTCGTACCGTTATCATAGTGTTTTAAGTCAATAATACCATACTATGTTAAAGAGATTTACACGTAATATATTGTATTATTGATTCAGAACGCTAGAATAACTATGTCTTCATTTTAATTGTCATACTTCACTATACAAGTTGTTAACAAAAAAAAAAAAAACACAAGAAAAAATTAATAATTATGCAATCCAAAAAATAGTAGTAATTAGTTTGACTGACCTAATATGTATATGCAGGAACAAATGGTGGAGCCGGCGGTGAACGGAACCAAGAATGTGATTCAAGCAGCCGCCGAAGCCAAGGTGAAACGGGTGGTCTTCACATCGTCAATTGGTGCGGTGTACATGGACCCCTCCAGGGGTCCTGAAGTGGTGGTCGACGAATCTTGTTGGAGTGATCTTGAATTTTGCAAGAACACCAAGGTCAGGACAATCATAATTGTATATAATTTCTTTTCTCATTAACACAAAATTCACTTATTTATATTAATCATATTCATCAATAAAGTGCTAATTATTTCTTTTATCCATAATACATGCTCAATGGTAGGCAATGATATTTGATGTACTCAAACAAACATGAGTTGTTTATTTTGTCTAGGAAATTATTGGACCACATATGAAACTAATTTTTTTTTTTAACAGACGATATTATCTACACTAAGGAAGTAAGGGATTGGGTTAAGCCTCATTATAGGCTAGCAATAATATAGTTCAAATTCGTCTTTGACAATAATCGAACTTAAGATCTCTCACTTACAAGTGAAGAATACCATTAGACTGTAGTACTAAGTGATTTTTTGATACAAGAGCTAAAGTTTAGCTAGGTTATATATATATATATATATATATTTTTTTTTTTTTTTTTTTTTTTTTGCCCACTAGGTTATATTTTCTTGAGTAGAATATTAGATAGAACACAGCAGAATATGTTATTTGTTGTTGCTTTTCAAATTACTTTTGTAAAATATATAAATAATTTCTAAAGGTCACCAAAAAATAAGTGAAAATATACACATACATACCGATCAAAAGTTGGAAAACAATCAACAAATAGTTAGAAATATTTTTGGTCAATTGGATGCATGAATATAGACTTGGCTGAACATGAAAAATGAACTAATTCTAAACCCATAACAGCCCAAAGTAACCTACTCTGTTGGCAAATACAAAACAAACAATTTGGAAAGAAAAATCAATAGAAAAACCCAACATAAAAGATTACTTTGATAGTTCTCTCCTTCCGTGAGAGACCTTCTCTCACGTGAGAGTTTACTTTCCCGTTTTGGTGAGGATCTTTCTTTTGCCCATCTTCTCTGGCGCCGACTCTAGCTTCGGCTGGAGTCGGTCGCCCCTTTTTCCTCCCTCCTTCTGTTTTCTCCTTTTTTTTCCCCTTCTCTGCCTTGTCCTCTTTCTTCTCTTCTTCTTCTTCTTCTTCTTCTTCTTCTTGTTCTTTTCTTTTTGTTTCTCTCGCTGCTTCTTCCTTTTTCCCCTACTCTCCTTTCCGATCTGACCCTTTCTTCATACCCCCAGCGGCATTCCTAATTGCTCATCTCTGCTTCGATCTGCAGTCGCTTCCAAACCGTGAATTTTTGCGGTATTTCGAGATGGTGTGTAGTGTTTTGGTGTTCCCACCGGCTCGGGTGTTCACTACCACCACCTTCTCACTGTCTTTGCCTTTACCGGCAGTGTTGTTCGTGGATTGCCACGAACTTCATCCTCATCATTGGCTTCTTCCGCTTCGTTGCTACCTATCCTTCCTTTATGGCTGTGCTAGGGAAGGAAATCGAGGTGAGATGCTGCACTGAATTTGGCATTGCGTGGTTATGGACAGGGAATTGGTCGGATCGAGACCTAGGGCGTATGTTGTAGAATTTTCTGGTGACTGTCACCTCTTTTGTGCGTTTTGGGCTTCAACTACTGGTTGGCCCTTTGTAATTTGTCTTTTTCGGCTTGTGTTTTGCTTGTTTCTATGTACTATTTGGGCCTTGGCTTTGTATTTGTGTATCTTTTTGTTTGTTTAATAGTAGAAGCTTTTTTCCAAAAAAAAAAAAAAATTACGTTGATAAATTAATAATGAATTAAAAAATATTTATTAAATTACAGAACTGGTACTGCTATGGGAAAGCAGTGGCAGAGCAGGCAGCATGGGAGGAAGCCAAAGAGAAAGGGGTGGACTTGGCGGTGGTGAACCCAGTGCTGGTGCTCGGACCACTTCTGCAACCAACTGTCAATGCCAGCATCATTCACATCCTCAAGTACCTGACTGGCTCGACCAAGACTTATGCCAATTCAGTTCAGGCCTATGTGCATGTTAGGGATGTCGCACTGGCTCACATTTTGGTCTATGAGACACCCTCTGTCTCCGGCAGATACCTTTGTGCTGAGAGTGTGCTCCACCGTGGTGACGTTGTGGAAATCCTGGCCAAATTCTTCCCGGAATACCCTATTCCCAACAAGTAAGTGCAACACCATTATCCTTAATTATCAATATTTTTTCAAACCCTTTTACTGAGTATACCAGTAATTTTTCTTGTTTGTATCATTGTTATTAATGTTATTATTAGGTTTGTTTTTTGTTAACAATAAGATGTCTGCTTGGTTTTTGTTAAAATTAAATGTTAATTACAGTCATTATTATGCATACGTAAACGACTTTTAAGTCATTGATTTACCGTGGGACGGGTGGACGACATTGACTAGCAAACGAAGCACTTTTCTAATTAAGTTGACGGTGCTTTTTTATATACTCTATGATTTCGATTAACATTACGGATTGTTTATGGGCGGTAACAAGGACATGATTCCTGTACTGACTAAGACCTTGCAATTAACAGAAAAGAGAAATTGAACCTAACAGAACTACTTGTAATTGTAGTGACGGCGCCCATAAGCCATACCAGATCATAAATGTTTAGGCTTTACTTTTGAGTAATTTCTGAGCATAGTACAAATAGACATTCAACTTCACAATTTAGGGTTTTTATTTCCGGCAACATATAATGATATGAATTTTTCTTTACTTCTAATTTTTTTTTCTTTTTTTTTTGGCTGAGAAAATAAATTTAAAGTCATAGGATTAGTTTATGATTTGATGCAAGACACAGGGCCATCTTTGAGAATTCGACTTTAAAGTTTTACTTGAACATATAACATTATTATATAATAAAATTGAAAAACATATCGTTTTTAAGATGTTATTACTGGCACACAAAATATCTTATTGTACTCTAAATTTTTATATTTAGATAGGAAAAAATTACACTTATAAAAGATGCATAATGAGATTTTTAAGTGTCAAAAAAAAACTTTTTTTAAAAAAAATATAGAACATTATTACATAATATTAGATGACAAAAATTTTGAAGGCCCCTTAACCCTGCGCGACTGCACTTTTGACTCCCTCTTCAACGCCCCCTTTGGCATAACATGTGTATGCTTTTGATTCCTCGAGTCCTCCTGTTGTGGTGTGGGGCAGTAGTAGGTGTACTAACATCGACATGTCTACACAAAGGACTGGACATATTGACAATTTGAGCCCCCAAAAAGTTGAAACTGTGATGGATAAAAATACTTGTGGAGCTAATGAGTCCTTACCTACTACAATACTCCACCTCACGCTGACATTATCTTTAGTTTTTGTTTTCTTTTGCAACATGTCACTCTCTTTACCTAACAATTATCCATTTTTTAGGTCTGTGAAAAGTTAGGGAGAATAAATATGTGCATTTAATATTATAAATTAAATAATATAAAAATTGATGATTTGATTATTATTTAAGTATTGATTAACGTGATTCTTTTTTAGCAGTGATACATCACTTTGTTTGCAATTTAATCTACAAATTTAGTCTTCATAAATTACTCTTTAGGTGTGCATGCAACTTCATGGAATACAGAATTAGATCCTCTCCGGATCTCCTCACTGGGAATCCGGAGGATCCATTAATACCAACTGCTCATCAAAGATCGTGCGGCTATAATTGAATGCTTTTTATATTTTCAAAAGTAAAGCAGTTTGCGTGAAAAATATATAAAATAAAAAATAAAAAATAAAAAAAATTGTGACCGCACGATCTTTGATGAACTGTTGTTATTATTGATCCCTAGGATCTCTAGTGAGAGGATCTGGAAAGGATCTAATTCCATGGAATACAACATTAAGTGCTCTCAATGATATTAGGAGTATGGATAGTGCATTTCACACATCCTTTTCCACCTTTCAAACATTCTTGTTAAATTTTATCTATTATTTTTGTTTTCAATTTCTTCGATTCAATGGTTGAAAATTGAGAGGAGTGCGTAAGAGGTAAAAATGAATATGTAGATAGCATCACCCTAGAAATATAGATGCTAATATTCCAACATTATTACTAGGTCCCAGTTGAGGAAATGAAGTGGGTAAACAAAAATTCCGGAAATAATACTTAGTCTTGAAGACTAATTATTGCTACTCATTGGTTTCCTTGTTTTATATATTTTGTGGAGTATATGCCTAAGGCGGTGATTATTGCCGTATTAAATTACCAGTTGATAGTCGCTCCCACCCGTGACATATATATTTGCATTTTTTTAGTTTTTAAATTGGTCTTTTTTATTGTATGATTAAATTAATATATCGCACATATACTTTGCAGGTGTAAAGATAATGGGAAACCCAAAGCAGAACCATACAAATTCACAAACCAGAAACTACGAGACTTAGGGTTGGAGTTCACACCAGTCAAACAAGCCCTATATGAAACTGTCAAGAGCTTGCAGGACAAGGGTCACCTTCCAGTCCATACAAAACAAGAACAAGATTCCATTAAAATTCAATCTTAACTTATACTTGTAGGATAAAAAATAAAAAAGAAGAATATATGAATATGTGCAGCCCTTAATCGTTTGTTTGTACGAACACTTATCTTATTTTGGTGTCTGTATGAATGCTGCGATGGTATTGTAAAACCAGTTTAATTATAGTACGTAGATGGCATGGTTTTCAGGGAGGATGTTGTTTGCAGTCCCATTTCTCTGAGGACAAATGCTATTTTTTTTTATAATGAAGACAATAACATCTTAAGCAAACGAATCTTTATCTTTGGAAACGGTTAATTTTCTGACTTCCTTTCATAATTTCCCACTAATTATGGATTTGCATGGAGCTTAGCAAAACCGTTCCCTTAATAAGCAAAAGGTCGATACTGGTTAGGAAGGTCTACCATTTAATATGCAACATATTATTGAGTACTATTACTTTTTTGATACGAGGCAATTGTATTTGTTCTAACAACGCTTACTTCATCCGATCATCAGTGAGAACATTTCTTTTGGTTCAGCAACATGCAAATCTATTTGCAACTTCTCAACCAAGAATTTTATTTGCAAGTGGTAGATTTTTTACCCTGATGGTTTAGTCTTTCGCTTCAATTCACTATGTCCCGAGTTCGTGCTTTATTTTCCTTAGTGTAGAAGTATTGCTTTTAAAAAAAAATTGTTTAACTGATGTAGGGCCATTCAATGTTCATCCTAATGTTCAATTAGATGCTGGTTTAGGGGGTAGCTTAACTGGATGACTCGGCGGGGTGTAAACGTAGAAGGGAAAGATAAATACAAGTAACCTCGTGACCAAGGAACAATTGGTTGGTGAAGCACTTGTGAAGTTGGAAGTTTAAGCTTATATATGATGTAGATTGTAGAGCAGTTTATTGATAAACTATCACAAATATTAAATTATAAAGCTGACCCTTTCAAAGCAAACTCTACTATACGAGGACAAACAAAACCCACCATGTCATGCATGCCTATGCATATGTAAGCTAGCTAGCTTTCATATCACCATTATATCATACAAATATTATATAGAAAAATAATTTTATACACTTTTTTAGTCATTTACACATTAATGTCTAATAATTTTTATTCCGTTGATTAGTATGTACAGTGTGTGAATATAACTATCTAATATGTAGTATGTATATTTGAGCGTGTCTATTGGCCATATATGAAAGGTTGAGAAGAATTCAAAATGTTGCTGCCGCTCAACAAACATCCCACCATTAAAAAAAGGAGCTATTTTCTTCGAAGTTTCAACCATGTAATGTACTACATACTTATGTTCAATTAAAACCGCCAACAGCTGTATTTTATAAGCAATTTTCTCCTCTTCGTCTCCAGACTATGGCTTCCTTCTTATTTTTCTCCTCTTTTCTGTAGCAAGAAGGTAGATTGGTGGTATAATATATTGGAGAAAGGATCCGCCATCAAAAAAGTTGAGCCGGTAAAAGTATAGAAGACCCATCAGTCATACATATATGAACCCAAGAAGTCGGCGTTAGTGTGAAAAGACCCATTAGTCATACATATATGAACCCAAGAAGTCGGCCTTAGTGTGAAAAAGACCCAGTAGTCATACACACATAAACCCAAGATGGTTTAGTGTGAGAGAATGACTTTCCTCTTCAAGATTGTTTTTTTTTTTTTTTTTTTTTTTTTTTTTTTTTTTTTTTTAAATAGGTCAAAGTTAGAGAGGTAAGCTTTTTAATGGTAGGTGCGAGGTAGATGCAAAATGTCACACTAAAACCATAGCACAAGAGAACAACAAATAAAAGACAGAGGAATAGATGATGTTACTGATCTTTTCTCTTGTTCTCTTCTTATTATATTTTCTGTATCTTTTGATTGCAGTCGAGTGCTCTATTTATAGAGCAACTCGTATTACTACATTTGAAATTTACAACACACTTTTGACAATATGATATCCTGCATTCCCAAAGTCAGTTTTCAATCTTTTATGTGAATTGACAATTTGTACGTGTAGTCATAAACAATTCAAATGTTAAAAACCAATCTGTGAGGGCATTGAAAAACTCCACCAAAACACTGTGGGCATTCACTACCCATCAGCATTTTCAACACTCCCCCTTGGATGCCCACATATCAACATGAGTTGCCTCGTTAAAACCTTGCTTGGAAAAACCCAGTGGGAAAAAACCATAGCGAAGGAAAAAGAGTACAACTTTTCTTGGATCGTTGATATAGTGTCAAGTATGCTTATGTTGCCTCATTAAAACCTTGATAGGAAAAACCCAGTGGGAAAAATCCTAATCGAAGGGAAAAGAGTACAACAAGCATGTATCATGGATGCTCCCCCTGATATGTATCTCCCCTTGATTCCGTATTCTCCAAATTTAGCTGTTTGGTAAGTCGACGTAATCCGATGCTTTGCAAGAACTTCTGAAACGTGCACTTTGGTAGAGATTTGGTGAACAAGTCTGCCAGATTTTCATTTGAATGGATTTGTCTGACTTCAATAACTTTAGCCTTCTGAAGCTCATGTGCACTGAAAAACATTGGAGATATGTGTTTAGTCTTATCGCCCTTGATAAATCCCTCCTTCATTTGGGCAACACAGACTGCATTATCTTCATGGATGACAGTTGGATTGTCTGTCTTCGAAGTTAGACCACATGAATTCCGGATATGATGGATCATTGATCTTAACCAAGAACATTCACGACTTGCTTCATGTAAAGCAAGTATTTCTGAATGATTTGAAGATGTAGCAACTAATGTTTGCTTGGTTGAGCGCCATGAGATTGCTGTATCTCCATTCTTAAACACATATCCAGTTTGTGAGTGGGCTTTATGCGGATCAGAGAGAAAACTAGTATCTGCATATCCAATGAGGACCTAGTCATTTGTGGAGTTCTTTGAGTAGAAGAGACCCATGTTTATTGTCCCACGAAGGTATCGCAATACATCTTTGATACCCTTCGAATGGCGAATTGTTGGAGCAGAGCTATACCTTGCTAACAAGTTAACTGAAAAAAGCTATATCTGGTCTAGTACATTGTGCTAAATACAACAAAGCACCTACTACACTCAGATATGGTACTTCTGGACCAAAGACCAGCTCATCATCTTTTTTTGGACGGAATGGATCTTTCTTAATGTCCAAAGAACGAACGACCATTGGCGTGTTGAGTGGATAAGCCTTGTCCATACCAAATCACTTCAGAATTTTTTCAATGTAAGCTGAATGGTGGACCAAAATTTCACTAGCACAATGCTCGATCTGCAGGCCAAGACAAAATTTTGTTTTTCCAAGGTCTTTCATTTCAAATTCGATTGTCAGCTATTCAGCAGTTTTATTCAGCTCTTCAAGAGTTCCAACTAGATTCATATCATCAACATATACTGCTACTATAGCGAATCCAGAATTGGATTTCTTAATGAACACACAACGGCAAATGACATTGTTGATATACCCTTCTTTGATCAAATACTCACTGAGACGATTATACCACATTCGTCCAGATTATTTCAGCCCATACAATGATCGCCTTAATTTGATCGAGAGCATACCTCATGGTTTGTTACTTGTTTCAGGCAACTTAAGTCCTTCCGGGACTTTCATATAGATGTCAGTATCTAATTCTCCATATAGATACGCAGTGATGACATCCATAAGTCGCATGTCAAGTCTTTCTGAAACCACTAAATTTATTAAGTAACGGAACATAATTGCGTCCATTACAGGAGAGTATGTCTCCTCATAATCAATTTCAGGTCTTTGAGAAAAGCCTTGTGCAACGAGCCGTGCTTTGTATCTTGTGATCTCGTTTTTCTCATTGCGTTTCCTTGTGAATACCCATTTGTAACCCATGGGGTTTACATTAGGCGGGGTTTGGACAATTGCTCCAAAAACATTCCGCCTTTCCAAGGAATTTAATTCTGCCTGGATTGCTTTTTTCCACTTAGGCCAATCATGTCTCTGTTTGCATTCATCAACAGAGCGAGGCTTACTATCATCACTTAAGATGATTTCAGTGGCTACTGCGAATGCAAACATATCATCGATGATTATATCATTTCGATCCCACAATTCATTTGTACATGCATAATTTATAGAGATTTATTTACTTTCATGTACTTCTGTCTCTTCAGGGACATGTGTCTCATCAAGGACATTTTCTTTTTTTGGAAGTCCAGAATCATGAATTATGGATTTATCATTCATTTTCTCTTCCTGAATGAGTTCATTTGGATTCAGTTGTGCCCTCGACTTTCTCTTTCGAAGGGCTGAATCTTTTGAACCTGGGGGTCTACCACGCTTCAGGGGTGCACCAGATGAATTATTCGCTGCCACTTTATTTTGTCCAACAGGGACATCAATTCTTGCAGGTGCATTTGCAGCTAGTATGTGTGATTTTGTCACTTTCATAGCATCATTAAATGCATCTGGCATTTGATTGGCAATGTTTTGAAGATGAACGATCTTTCTCAGTTCATTTTCACATTGAATGCTGCGAGGATCAAAATGAGACAAGGTGGGAACAACCCATGTCAGCTCTTTCCGTTCTTCTAGAACGGTCTTTTCTCCCCCTAACGACGGGAAGACTGTCTCATCAAAGTGACAATCAGCAAAACGAGCTATAAACATATCACCTGTCAGGGGTTCCAAATATCTAATGATAGATGGTGAATCAAAACCCACATAAATTCCCAGTCTACGCTGAGGTCCCATTTTAGTGCATTGTGGCGATGCAATAGGCACATAAATAGCATAACCAAAAACTCGTAAATATGAAATGTTTGGCTGATGTCCAAACACGAGTTGTACTGAAGGGTATTGATGGTTGGCTATAGGTCTCAATCGAACCAATGATGCAGCATGTAAGATGGCATGTCCCCATGCAGAGACTGGCAATTTGGTTTTCATAAGCAGAGTGCGAGCTATTAACTGAAGCCACTTGATCAATGTTTCTGCTAAACCATTTTGATTATGGACATAAGGAACAGGGTGTTCAACATCAATAACCAATGTCATGCAGTAATCATCAAAGGTTTGAGACGTAAATTCACTAGCATTATCAAGTCGGATTGACTTAATGGGATAATCTGGGAACTGTGCTCATAACTTAATTATTTGAGCAAGAAGTCTCGCAAAGGCTACATTCCAAGTAGACAAGAGACAAACATATGACCATCGGGTAGATGCATCAACCAAAACCATAAAATATCGAAATGGTCCACATGATGGTTGAATAGGCCCACAAATATCTCCTTGAATTCTTTGCAGAAATGATG